TAAACTTTTAAAGTTGTGTTTAATAGATCTTTAAACTTTAAAATGCGTGTCTAATAAATCTTTAAACTTTAACTTCCGTGTCAAATAAATCCTTGAACTATTAAGAAAATGTTTTATAGATCTTAAAATTAATTTTCAATTTTATGTCTAACATGCCTCTAAATTAATTTAAAAAGTATTTACCATGTCTCTAAAATTTCAATTTTGTGTCTAAGAGATTTATGTACTTTATAATCGATCGTGTCTAATAGGCCAAAGATCTATTAGACATAAAATTGAAAGTCTAGAAATCTATTAACAGTTTGTAAAGTTGAAAACCTATTAGACACAATATTAAAAATTTAGAGACTTCTGAAAGTTCAGGAACTTATTAAACAATCCTAAAAATTCATTGATCAAATATACGTAATTCGAAATAGGGGAATACCCCTTTAGTGGAAATTGAGTAATAAAAAAGTTGTTCATGAGATGAAATAATTTTGTTTACTCATTTACTGGTCATTTGGGTAACATTACTATTTCTCGTGTCTTATTTTTTTTTTTCCATTCTTTTTTATGAAATATAAGTATTTAGTAAATATTTGTGTTTCTATTAAATTTTAGAAATAACAAAGTTAATTTCCTATTTCTTGTTGTACTTTTCAAATTTTTTCCCAAAACTTAAATAAGAACACTATTTTGTTAACTTATAAAATGCTTAACTAATATTAAAATAATTAAGTATTTAATTGAAACAATTATTTTTGTTATGGGAAGAAAAATATAGAATGGACAAAGCGATAGAAGGGGAGTCGCCAAAGACCGTCGGCTCGGGCCAACCCGAACTTTGTGCAGCCCAATCCGAAATCCTGTCTAATCTCAACCCTTGATCCAACATTAGGTCCACGACGAAACACATGGGCCTAGAAGTCCAGATCTCCCAAAGATACTAGGGTTCGACCTCTGTAAACCCTAGGGAGATTAGGATTCAACTTCTATAAATATGGAAATAAGGTAAACCCTAAAAGTATTCTTACAATACCCTACACTCTATACTCAACTACTCCGATTCTAACTTAAGCATCAGAACCCGTGTGGCAAGAGTCACACCGATCTTAGTGCTATTATGTTTTGCAAGTCTCGTCGATCCCTTTATTCTACGAGATTGGTGCGAATTTGGCGGAATCTCAGGAGGCCAAATTTCTACATCAACAATTGGCGCCGTTTGTGGAGAACGACTAAGATCAAGCCAAGACGGTCAAATTGGCCGAGCACTACTCAGATCCGAGGAGGTCTAGGGGAAAAGCAAATCAACAGGGCGTGAGATAAAATCTAAAGGGAAACAAATCAACATGAATTCAGGAGATAAAAAACCATAACATTCTGGCGACGAATACCGTACGGCTCGGATGCTATCTTTGCCGAGATGGCCGAGGGTGAGGCATATCGACAACTTACTGAGCAGGTCCTAGGCGATATAAGACGATATTTATCAGGAAAGGAAGAGCGACTGACGGAAATTCTTGAACAGAACAGATTGGCCGCTTTAGCAGAGAAGGTCGCAGGGATGGACCAGAGCATATCCCTCATCCTCAAAAGGCTTCAGCAACCAGGAAACACTTAAGTTATATGAGATACACGGAAAGGCAAAGCTTTTCGCCTACATGATCTAGAAACTACACCATCGTAGAAGTTAACGACACAAAAAACCCGACCAGGCCTCGAGAACACCATGGTCGACAAAGAAGAACCTCTTAACCAACATGTAGGAGAATCACATAAGCATAATGGGAAACAGAAGAATAGGGAATGCGGTCTCGAAGAAACTATAGATCAGGCAGATTCGTCATTCGGGGAGGAGATAATGAGAGGAAAGATCCCTCCAAAATTCAGATTCCCTACTATAAAGTAATACGACGGCTCAACAGATCTTGTCGACCATTTGTGCACATATAAGGAATGGATGGACCTCTACAGAATAACAGAGGCAATCAAGTGCAGGGTATTATTCTCTTTCACGTTAACTGGCACAACTCACATATGGTTCCAACAATTGAGAAGAAAATCAATCCTCCTTCAAAGTACTGGCTAGGGCATTTATTACGCAATTCATTGAAGGGTAGGATAGGAGTCGACCTATGACCTACCTCCTTACTATAAAACAAAGATCGACAGAGAGCCTTGGAGAATATGTGGCTCGTTTCAACGAGGAAAGATTACTAGTCAGAGATCTTACCGATGGAATATCACTACTTGCTTTCATATTTGGGGTAAGAGAAAAAGGGTTTTTGTTCTCTTTTAGAAAAAGGGCCCCAACAACTTTTTCAGAAGCAGTGACTTGAACCGAAAAGTATATGGGCGCAAAAGAGCTACTCCATTCAAAATGGGATCTCGACAAAACTCAAGATCAATAAGATCAACGAGATCCTAAAAAAAGATATACCCCAACGACAGTCCCGCTCGAATAAGAGTCAAGGGAGAGCAACGAGTATTTTGGGGATACTACTACGTCAAATGTCCTTTTTAATGATTGAATAGGTTTTTATTGCTTACATATTACGTAGTATATGTCGTTTGTTTCAGATTACATATGATTCTATGTTTCCAAAAATGATTATTTACTTCTGATTAGTTATAGCATCTGAGATTTAATTAGCTCTTATTACTTGAGCATTTATTTTTGTTCTAAACAAAAAACTCCTCAAGTAGGGGCATGGATAAGTTAATCAACAGTTGGTCAAGGAACTCGAACTGGGATAGACCTAGAAGTAGGCTGATAAGCCAAAAAGACAATCAGTGAAACCAGGGAAGAGAATCCCAAAGATGCTGAAAGGCATGCGTTATGCCCAACAAGGTTAAAACAGAAAGCAGACATGCCAAACCAATCAGCGAAACCCAAGGTATAAAACCATTTGGCAAAAGCCAAAATAGGTTAGAAACCCAAGGGTATTGATTAAACCCATGGTAAAAGACCGGCAGAAGCCAAATAGATTAGAAACCCAAGGGTACCAACTAAACTCATGGTATAAAACCATTGACAAAAGCCAAATAGGTTAGAAACCAAAGAGTAAAACCATAGGCAAAAGCCAGAACAGTCAGAAACCAAGAGTGGTACCGCTGGCCGAGCTAAAAGTTATATCCCAAGGCCAACAAAAAAACCTAAACAGTTAAAATTAACTGTATGAGAGAGCCCAGGAGACTTGACCACAGCCGACTACGACAAAAAGGTATGGAGGCTAAAAAACACAACCCATAAAACGAAAAAATGATATGAACTGGACTTAGGGTATAAGACCATTGGCAAAAGCTAAATAGGTTAGAAATCCAAAAGTAAACCCTTGAGTATAAAACTATGGGCAAAAACTAAGCAGGTTAGAAACCCAAGGGTAGTACAACTAGCACAACTAAAAGTTAGATTCCAAGACAAAAACCTAAACAATTAAAATTAACTGTACGGTAGAGCCCAAGAGACTTGACTACAGCTAACCATGACAAAAGGGTATAGGGGCTATTCCACAAAAACAACCACCCATGGAACGTCCGAGCGACAAGTACTCTCAATATAGAAGTCTTAGCATTTTACTTATGCTTATTGGCTTCTATTTTGAGAGTGTGGGCTACTGTTATGGGAAGAAAAATATAGAACGAACAAAGCGACAGAAGGGGAGTCGCCGAAGATCGTCGGCCCGGACCAACCTGATCTGACCCATGGTCAGCGTCGAGTAATTCGATTCCCCTCGATCCTTGTACAGCCCAATCTGAAATCCTACCTGATCTCGACCCTTGATCCGACATTAGGTCCACGACAAACACGTGGGCCCAGAAGTCCATATGTCCCAAAGATACTAGGGTTGGACTTCTGTAAACCTAGGGAGATTATGATTCAACTTCTATGAATAGGGAAGAAAAACCCTAAAGGTATGCTAACAACACCTTATACTCCATACTCAACTACTCCGATACTAACCTAAGCATCAGAGTTCGTGTGGCAAGAGCCATACCGTCTTAGTACTATTCTGTTTTGCAAGCCTCGTCGATTCTTTTATTCTAGAAGATTGGTACGAATTTGACGTAATCCTAAGAAGCCAAATTTCTGCATCAACAATTTTCATATTAAATTCGTACATTTTTAGTTTAAAACTTTAGAGCACAAAAACACAATAAACAATACCATACAAGTTACAATTACAAGCTATGAGACAGAATAATAAGTTGTTATTATTATTTTTTTAATTGCATGATCCCGCTAAAACTGCAGCAAGAAATGCTATTCAGAGGATCAGGATATATAACAAACAGAAGTCATCCTTTTAGATAATGAGGTCATAATCTTTATTTTCTTCTTTTTCATCTTCTTTTTCACCGATCAAAACTCCTTCCCAAATTGTAAAAACTTCTTCAAAGCATACAATTTTTTGAATCGATAATTTTTGGATAAGTCTCAATTATTAATAAACGTAATACTAATTTTCTTTTTGAAACATGAAACAACAAAATCAAATTGAATCGTTATCGTTTTGGCCATGGATCCTCTCCCACTGATTGTTCTTTTCCTCCCTTCTGAGGAGAACAATAATAAAAACAACCTGTTTGGTAGTTGATCAAAAATTAAATTCATTGCCAAAAGTTTCCAAAGTTGAAAAATGAATTTGGTGATAAGATCAAATATAATATGATCACCTCCAAAAATTCATTAATAAAACGACGGGTGGGTATGCCTTGAAATTCGCAAATTACTTCTACCTTATCTCCATGGCCATGGCCCATATTTCCGTACGTTTCTTCATTTCAAAGCTGTTTGTTCTATTATAACAAGAAAAATACTTTGATCTCTTAACCGCGACGAATTTTATTTTATTTTTTTATAAAAAATATTTATTTTTATATTTCTGTTTTTTAATTGTCAAAATATTCAACGGTAGCAGTGGACGAGATTGCTCTTTAAAGAGCCAAAGTATTTTACTTATAAAACCCATTTTCAGAGGCTTATCTTTCACACTCCTAAACTCCAATTGCAAAGTTCAAACATAACATATTCTCCTCTCTCCCTCTCTGATCTTACAAAACAAACATGGCAGCTGATTTTGGGAAGGGGAAGATGGTAACAATTTTGAGTATTGATGGTGGTGGCATTAGAGGCATTATTCCCGGAACTATTCTCGCTTTTCTCGAGTCTAAGCTTCAAGTAATGGTTATGAATTATATAGATATGTGTTTACACCTCAAAATTTAAATTGTTTACCAAGAGGAAGTTTGACGTGCATGATTTTAGAGTAACATATAGGTCTTTTTTTTAACTGTTTATAACTTTATCACAATGTTTGACTATATGTCTATATGTCCTAAAACGTATGTTTACAAGACATTTAATAACTTTTTTTTTTTAGTGCTTATAGAAATGAAAGTTTTGGTGTTCTGCTCTCCCTAGGAATTGGATGGCCCAGATGTGAGAATTGTAGATTACTTTGATGTAATGGCTGGAACAAGTACAGGTGCCTTGGTCACCTCCATGCTTTCAGCTCCCAATGAGAACAATCGACCTTTATATGCTGCAAAGGATCTCACTAAATTCTATTTAGAACATGCTCCAAAGATCTTCCCACAGAGGAAGTTAGTTTCGTTTTTCTCTCCTATAACTTTCAATTTCTCAACCTTCTTTATTATGGTTTCATCTACTGAATTTGGTGTTTTGTGGTGGATCTAGTCATCTTTTAAGTTCAGTGGTGAATTTATTCGGAAAAGTTATGGGCCCAAAGTACGATGGCAAATACTTGAGGTCATTGATAAATGAATTGCTTGGAGATCTAACAATTAAGCAAACATTAACCCACGTTGTTATTCCAACTTTTGACATCAAACTTCTTCAACCCGTGATTTTCAACACAATCGAGGTATGAAATTTTACTATTAAGTTACTATTTGATGATACTAAATAAATTTGTCCTAATTGAAGTAAAAATTTAGGCAAGATGGAAAGAGTTGCAGAATCCAAGGTTGGCAGATGTTTGCATTAGTACTTCTGCAGCACCAACTTTTTTTCCCGGTCATGAATTTCAAACTAAAGACTCCAGGGGAAATACTCGTAATTTTGATATGGTTGACGGTGGAGTTGCTGCCAACAATCCAGTAAGCTTCTCCCGATCAGTATTACTACATTCTAGACTATATATATATATATATGTTTTAGATGATGTTTATTGTTTATTAATATAATGTTTTGGTTTAATTGATATACATATAGACATTAGCTGCCATAACCCACGTTACAAAAGAGATAAGCCTCTTGAGAAGAACAATGGAGTTTATGAAGATAAAACCGATGGAAACAAGAAGGATGTTGGTCCTTTCTTTAGGAACTGGTGCACCTAAAAATGATAGCAAATATTGTGTATCAAAGTCTTCTAAATGGGGTATGCTTGGTTGGGTCTACAGCAATGGAGCAACACCTATAGTTGACATTTTCAGTGATGCGAGTTCCGATATGGTCGACTATCATATTTCTAGCATCTTCCAATCTACCTACTGTGACAAACATTATCTACGTATTCAGGTACATATATCCTTATGCTCCGTTTGATCTTTGGAATTGTTAGGAAATGATTTTTCAAATTCTAGGATTTTAAATAAAGAAATGATTTCGAATTCCTAATTGCGTTTAGAAC